CGGCCAAGAGGGCGGATATGGCGGCGGCCAGCAGGGCGGAGGATATGGTGGCGGCCAGCAAGGTGGATACGGCGGTGGTCAGCAGGGCGGGTACGGCGGTGGTCAGCAAGGTGGATACAGCGGTGGTCAGCAGGGCGGGTACGGCGGTGGTCAGCAGGGCGGGTATGGCGGTGGTCAGCAGGGAGGGTACGGCGGCGGCGGCCAGCAGGGCGAATACGGCGGTGGTGGACACGGAGGCGGCCAGCAGGGAGGGTATAACAGTGGTCGTCCTCAATGTGAGAACCTCACCAGAGTCCCATCCTCAGCGTCAGCAGTGCTGACTCTGCCGTCACAGTTGATCATGATGAGGTCGTCGATACTGCTACCCAACACGCCAGCGGTGACGGCAATGATAGATCTATGTTCTCCTCCGCCCTTGGTTTCGTGAAACAGCACCAGGTGCGTATCGTATTCGAAATAGCGATCACGATACCTACAAACCACCCTCCCTAGGGCGAGCACGAGCAGCCCGTTAACGAGCAGCACGTCACCGACGCGCACAATCAGGCCTATAATCAAGGTAATGCTTCAAACTTGAGCGCGGGTTCCATGGGATCTGCAGCAGCGATGCAGGTACGCGATCCCCTCGATCATATCTCCTCTGTCGCATAACACTTCCCTCGTATCCTTCAGATTCTTAAGCAATTCACATCTGGCGGTGGTGGCGGCGGCGGCGGCGGCTCGAGCTCGCAGCTGATCAGCATGGCGATGGCCGAGGCGACAAAGTTGTTTGACAGCTCGGGTGGTGCTGCGTCGGGCAACAAGCAAGACGCGGTCAACGGCGCAGCGATGACCGTCATGAAGCTGCTCGTCCAGAGCAAGTTCAGCTCGGCCACTGGCGGAGGCAACTCCGGCGGACTGGGTGGACTTGCGAGCTTGGTAAGTAGTACATCTGGATTCGTCAATGCCGTGACTGACGAACGCTTTTCGTTATCAGGCCAGCAGCTTCCTGAAATAGAGACAATTTGGACGGTATCGGATTCAAGGAAGTGAAATGTAATTATATTGCGATGCTCAAACGTGTACATGTGTAACAGAATCGGTCCCGGCTCGTGCGCTCGATAAGCCTGTGCGATATCCTTTCTAAATGAGAGATATTGACATGTGATGTACTCTCAATTTAGATCCTTATGCACAGATAGCGGTTGTAAGGCAGCAAGTCAACTCCGAGTTTATATCGCGCAGTCTGAACTATAGACGATATCGCACACATCAGCAGAAATCCAGACCTAAAGTATGTGCTAAGACACTTTAACGCTCCTCCGGGGGGACAAAGTCTTCGTCGTCCTCGTCATCCTCGTCGAGCTCGGTCAAGGCACTGACGTCACCAACGTCCATGCTAATATCCTCACTCTCGCTCTCGTCATCCTCGCCCTCATCGTCGGTTGCAATCGCTTCGTCGTCGTCGAGCTCAGGGTTAGGATGCTTCGCCTGAACGATGAGCGCCTTGTAGGCCTCGTCGAGCGCGAGTTGTGCAGCATGCCTGCGGTCTTGGGCGAGTTGGATGTCCTCTGTACAGTATGCCATGAGTCGGTCAACGTATTGGGTGGGAAGAGGGAGGGTGTCATGATCGAGTACCTTCTGAAGCGCCGCTGTTGCGAATGTCGCGAAGGGCTTGATCAGCGTTCTGTACGGCCTTCTGGGCATCGTGTACGACTTCCACAGGTGTGCGAGCTGTGCAGATTGAGGTGGTCAGCGCCGGTCTCCACGACGTCCGACTAAGGGGGAAAAGCGACGCTCACTAGGATCGCAGGGGCAGACGCATTCGCAGGGGTGGGTGGTGGGCATGGCTGTCCAGCTCAACTGGGGGAGTGCTTGGTGGGCTATGGACGTGGGGAGGTAGTGGTACGAAACAAGAGCACTCTGCATAGCCAAACAAAGTTTTGCGGCTTATATAGGGACGTGGGACATGATTTCGTGTCGCGCGCTCGAGATTGAGCTCCGCTATGTGAAGGAGGACGCGTCGTGGAACTTTAATGGGCTTGGACGCGTCTGTCACGTGTACGCGCTGCGTTTGTCACGATAGAGACGCGTTCATGTGGGATGCGGTCTAGGCTCAACGAGATGTCGCGTTAC